CAAGGCGATTGGCTCGGTCGACGTGCAAAAGGGATTCCCAGACTTTAGCCCACAGTTTTACGGCTTCCAGGTCGACCCGCTCGAGGGCAACCGCGTGTGGTATGTGGCGAGAGGCCGCGGCACCAACACCGGCCCGTTCCCTCCCTTTGCACCTGTCCCGACGGGGCGCTCGCTGGTCAACCCGCCGCAAGCCTGCAGCCTCACCTTCGACGAGAAGGGACTCGTGACCAAGTACACTATTGGCGTGGTGATGGACCGGCAAGTCGGCAACACGGGAGGCCTGGGCGGGCTGTACGGCATCCTCTATGCGATCGGCAGACCGCTGCCCTTTCCCGAGGCGCAGCCGTGGCAAATGTCGAAACGGTACAGGCTCTTCCAGGGCGTGGGCAGCCTGGTTGGCGCGCTGGCGGGCAGGAAGTGAGAGCGCGTGCGTGGTGGGCTCTCAACGCCGCCCGCGGTGTGCGGCGTGCACCGCGGGCGGCCTCGCGCGCCGGCGGGCGGGCGGGGGCGCGTGCGTGAGCGGAGTGTGAGGGCCGAGAGCCGCTGAGCGCCGTGAAGGATGGTTGAACTTGATCTTGAAGGAGTTTCGTGTGTCGAGTGAGCGGACTGAGGCCTGACGCTCGTGTGAGCCGGCCGGAAAAGAGAGCGCAGCTGCGGAGATGTCTCACAAGCAGAGTCAAGCTCAAGAGACCCTGAGCGCCTGACCGCGCAGACGGCGCAGTCGGCAGTCGCAGAGTCCCGCAGAGACCAGAGATGCGGGGAGTGACGCAGCGCGAGCCGTGCCTCTCCGCCGCGGACGCACGCGTCGAGCAGCGAGATCAGCATGGTTGGCGCTCGCGCCAAGGTCGGCTGTAACCTCGATCCGCTGAACCTCCTGCGAGGACTCCTGCGCGAGCGCAGCTGTATGCGACATAGGTCATAGCACAAACACGGAAGCGGGTACTAGGGTGTGGGACATGGTACACACAACATAACGGTGCGGTAGGTAGACAATCTACCTCCAATCCCATCTATGATCTAACCGACCGACGGAGACGTCAACTCCGCAGTCACAAACGGTCATGAGTGATGAGAGGTGATAGAGGCGGCTCCACATCGGGAGGTCTAGGCTCCCGTGTGTCGCCGATGTTCGCATGCAAGAGACGCGAGGCCGGCCCGGCGGCTAGTGCGGGCCACGCGGCAGCGCAGCGCCGGCGCGCGCCTAGTACTCCTCGCCGCCCTCCTCGTCGTACTCGCCCTCCTCCTCGGCCGAGGCGTCCTGGTACTGCTGGTACTCGGAGACGAGGTCGTTCATGTTGGACTCGGCCTCGGTGAACTCCATCTCGTCCATGCCCTCGCCGGTGTACCAGTGGAGGAAGGCCTTGCGGCGGAACATGGCGGTGAACTGCTCGGCGACGCGCTTCATCACCTCCTGCATGCAGGTCGAGTTGCCCATGAAGCCGACCGACATCTTGAGGCCCTTGGGCGGGATGTCGCAGATGGCGCACTTCATGTTGTTGGGGATCCACTCGACAAAGTAGGACGAGTTCTTGTTCTGCACGTTGAGCATCTGCTCGTCCACCTCCTTGGTCGACATGCGCCCGCGGAAGAGCGCGGT